GCCGCCGCCTTCGCGGACAAGTACATGGATACCGCCGGCCCAGCGGCCGAGGAGTTCAGCTCCCGCGCTAAGGAGTTCGCCTTCTACCACCAGGGCTACGCAGCCGGGCCTTACCACCACCATCAGCCCATGCCTGGCTACCTGGATATGCCAGTGGTGCCGGGCCTCGGGGGCCCCGGCGAGTCGCGCCACGAGCCCCTGGGTCTTCCCATGGAAAGCTACCAGCCCTGGGCGCTGCCCAACGGCTGGAACGGCCAAATGTACTGCCCCAAAGAGCAGGCGCAGCCTCCCCACCTCTGGAAGTCCACTCTGCCTGGTAAATGGCGACATATTCCCAGCCCTGGTCTTCCGGCTCTGCTCCAGCTTCTCCTCCGCTCGCACCCGGGCGATCCCGGGTTCCCTTCTGTTCTTTTCCTGGTCTGCCCTAGCGGCTCTGCACCCCTGGGAGCCCAAGCATGGCTGGCTGGGGCTGCCTGCACTGCCTTGAGTTGAGCTGGTCCCTGGCCCTCCCTGGGTGAGGGGTGGCTGGGAGAGAACTTGTGGGGACCGCGGCTAGCTTCCCTCTCCCTCTGCGCCCCGCCCTCCCCAGCCCCTGACACCAATTTAAGGATGAGAAATTTACCAGAAAACAGCTCCCCAAATTGCCCCTCCCTATTCATTCTCTCAAAAATGGCTTCAGTGTAGAAGCTTCGAGTATTGGGACGGGCACCCAGAAAGGAGCCAGGCACAGAAGTGTTGTACCTTGAGCTTGGCGCTAAGGTGTGGGCCGCTGGACCAGGCTATCTCTCGAAGCTGCCTACGCGTTGCTCCTGCAGGATGGCCGGGTTGGGGACGTCACTGGAGCCCTGGGCGATTTCATTTCAGTTCAGAACTAACCACCTTCCCCACTGACCCTCTAGGCTTTGGCAGAAGGCCGGATTGTACAGCGCGTGGCAAAGAGCAGCCGGGCGCTGCAAGGCGGGTGGCTCAGATCGAGCTGTCGCCTATGCCCTGGCTGGGGTCCGATCCCTGTGTAACTTGCCTTCTCCCTTATCTTCTAGACGTCGTCTCCCATCCCTCGGATGCCAGCTCTTATAGGAGGGGGAGAAAGAAGCGCGTGCCTTATACCAAGGTGCAATTAAAAGAACTTGAACGGGAATACGCCACGAACAAATTCATTACTAAGGACAAACGGAGGCGGATATCAGCCACGACGAATCTCTCTGAGCGGCAGGTCACAATCTGGTTCCAGAACAGGAGGGTTAAAGAGAAAAAAGTCATCAACAAACTGAAAACCACTAGTTAATGGATTAAAAATGGAACAAGAAGGCAACTTGAAGAAACGCTTCAGAACTTGTTGCTTTGCCCAGATAATGATAATAATGCTTAATAATAATTGAAGAATGGGAAAGAGAAAGAGACAGACACTGGCATTTTGCTCTCCTGAAGGAGATCTCTTTCTCTTTAATGGAATCTACAACTGTTTTAAAACTTTAAAAAAGGTAAAGACTGCCAGTTCTTTCGCCAACCCCACCAGCCCAGCCCGTTAAATGTCAAACGTCAACCCCCAAAATACGCAATTTCAGATAAGTTACACAGTTACTGAAATCTTGTAAGTATTTATGTGATCGTTATATTTTAGGACACTGCGTTAGATGGTAATAATCTGGAAGTTGGTTACAAAAGCAAGAGGCCATTGTAAACATCTGCTTGTCCTTCTTAGGTCGCCATTCCCTTTGCATGTTAAGCGTCTGCTCAGGTAAATCTTAGTGAAATTCCTACCGTTGTTGTATGTTCTGCAAAACATTTTATGTATAGATTTAGAGGGGAAACGAGAAGGTACTAAAATAATAATCTTGGAATATTTGCTGTGAAGGGAAAACGGGAGAGAAAACTCTTCTGAGGATCATTTGTCTTGGTAGTATAGTAAAACCAACCAGCTGAACCTTTCAGGCTACAAGAGAAACCGAGTTGGTAATGTCCTTTTCAGAATAATTTTTAACTGCTTATAACAAGCATATTTTGTGGCATTTGGACTATATTTACTGCCCCAATATCCGTTATTTTCCAAAGGATTTGGTATCTTTTTGAAAATGTTTAAATCATCAGATGATCCGCAGAATTCACTTTATTTGAGAAATCCCGAAAGTTTCCATCCCAACATGATGGACTTCGGTTTGAACACAATTCGTTTTTTCATTTGAATTGGCATTTCACAATATTTGCTAAACATTTGCTGGAGAAATCATTTTTCTTTTTTCTTTTTTAGAAAACTCAAAATGAAAATTCATTCCCCTGAAATATTTAGGTGTCTTCATTCTATATTTTGATCTATTAAGAGATTAGTATTTTTCCATGTTTATTGTTTTATCAGACTGCATTAGAAAGATTAGTGATTCATCTTCACAGCACATTTTTAAGCAGTTATTTCAACCAGCACATTCGTTTTGTTCATATTCACTATAGAATGATATCTTGTAAATAAAGACACTCAGCACACTGTGAAAATGTATTTGTGCACCTGCTTTTTAAATATTTCTACTAAAAATGAAAAAAAAAAAACTTAGACCTGTTGATAGTGATGTAGTGGTATTAATTCTGTTAATAAAATAGTCACTGCCATTAAAATCTGCAGAAAATACTCTTTTCTTTCCTATGCTAAATGTGCACTGCACAGAAAGAAAAGGAGCAGGTTTGTCTTATATAAACCAAGGACCATTCTTTATTATTATTCAGTACTTTTTTTGCTACCAAATTTTTAAGAAAAGGGAGAAACCCCTCATAACTAAAATCCTAAAATATGATAAGTGCTTCAAGGAGATTAAAGTGTCAGATATTCCAAAAGGGAGAGAAAAGAAAGGAGGAAGAGATAGAATGAATTCCCAGGCTCCCTGTGGAAAATGAAAACCAGTTGTTTTGTATCAGCAATGCCTAGGCTGTCGTATTTTAAAATGTGCTGTTGGGTCTGCATGTGTCTGAGAGGGCAGGTTTTGATATCTGTTGAAATGACAGGACTACGAAAGGCCTTAAACCTTGACCTTGACGAAAAAAGACAATTTGTGACCTTGACTTTTGACAGCTCATGAATTGGCCTTAGCTGGATTAGTAGATCAAGGGCGCCACCTCGCGTTGACAAGCCTCCTTGTAATTTTTCAACCAAGGGAATCAAGAGCTCTTACGTCCTTGACTTTAGAGATTCAGTACTCAATTATTTGGCTCCAGATGGAGCAAATTTGAATATATGTAAATTATACATGTCCCTGTATATATGTAAATATATATCATATGTGTACACATGTATACTTTTGCATATTAGTGCTTGTGTGTGCTTGTATATATATTTGTAGAATCTGTACAGATATCGTATCATTAATTGCTAATGACCCAAGATATTGTAATTTAAGGTGATTCCTAGAGTTGAGGTACAAAATGTACTTTACAAGATGAAGCTTTGTTCCTTTTCTCTAATGGCTAAGTTCGATTTGTCTTCACAGTGGCTTTCTCTGCATCAGATTTCTGCAGATCTGCTTTAAAGCTGTACATTTTTGTTACAGTCAAAGATGTGTTCTTAAATCACCATTCTTTCCTGGTCCTCACCCTCCAATGTGGCCTCGCATTCTAATTAGAGCTACTGAGGAGTCTTTACAGCAAATTAAGATTCAGATGCCTTGCTAATTCTAGAGTTCTAGAGTTACGTTTCAGAAATTCTAAGAAACCCCTCTTGAGAGGTCAGTAAAGAGGACTTAATATTTCATATCTACAAAATGACCACAGGATTGGATACAGATCTGAGTTATCCTGGATAACTCAGAGCTGAGTACTGCTCCAGGGTGGTGTGCAATCTTATATTGATGCTTGTGAATCTGCCATTTTATTTGTAGGATAAATAAATATGTTTAATATTAACAACTTCCATCAAAACTATAATAATAATATATCTGCTGTTGACCTCTAACAACAATCAGGTGCTGTATTCAGAGTCATAAAGAATACATATGTATGTTTGTATATTTAATACACACATAGGATAATGTGTTTTTGTCAAATCTATGCTATGCACATATGTATTAAAATGTTGGTGGAACCAGTAGCCGTGGGATGCAGAATTGTGAGATGCAGGCTAATTTTATCTTTATATTAGAGGAAAGTAACAGTGAATGGAAGAACCAGATTCAACATTTTATGGAAAATAATATTGATTGGTTACAAAAGTGGCTGCCGGAAACCTCTCCAACCTCTCCTGAGGACTCACAGCTTCTTTATAGATGAGAATTATGGAAAGAGTCTCTAAAGCTGTCTCAAAAACAGGCTGGTGTTGAAACATACATATCGAAAGGGCTTGAGAAATTCAATTATATTTTGCTGCCCTGAGGATTTTCACTCCACTTGTGGAAACAAATGATAATGTTGCTTCAGACCCACCTCTCCACCTCTTGTTCCAAACAGTACTCCATTTCCAAATGAGCTGCCATCAAGCCAAAGTAACAACTTTCTCCCAAAATGTTTAAAGTGGTGGAAAATTCCCTCAAAGCTGGATCAAACTGTGTGTTTAAGAACAGCTCCAAACGGGACTCTTCTGTTGACGGGGGATATTTCTCTTTAGATGTAAGAAATATTCTGAGCCTCGAGCCTAGGAAGGAGGCCAACAGCAGCTCTCCAGCCGGGATACCGCCCCTTTCGAAAGCCATCACCACTACAGGAACCCTGGGTAAAGTAGTAGCCTTCTTTTTTTCTCTCTAGTTTTTGAAACTGTAATGACAGAAGATATTTCAGGGTTGTTGTGGGGTTTTTTTCCCCCCAGTTCTAAAATGGTCATTGATAGTATCGATCTTACCTAACTCTCCTTCTATTTAAAATTTCTATGGATCTACCAGATAACCAGAGGTGGGCATGGATTATTTATGATGGCTCCTTTAATGCCCAAATAGCAATCAGTCTAAAACCTGAAAGAAAAAAAAAAATGTCCAAGGAGAGACCAGCCACCTCCTGAAAAACAGGAATAATAGTATCAGCCACTGATCTGTGAATAATGTTGTTGGAAACCTGACTGAAGTATTTTTTTCTAAAAAGAAAACTATTCCTGAATACAAAATAATAAAAATAGGACTTTAAAAAAACCCTACTTTTTCTATCTGCTCTCAGTACTGTCATATTTATTTAGTTACTTTAAGTGGATGATTGTTAAATGTCGCTGTGCATTTTACTCCTATTTGTGACTGATGCAGAGCTGAAGCCACACATTCAAGTTGTGGGTTAAAAATAAATAACAGAAAAGGAAAGAAAAAAATTAAAACAACCTAGTTGAAATCTTTTCTTAAAAATTCACCACTAGGCAGCGAAATTCAGCTGCAGATGCAACATTTGTGTGTGGAGAGTTGACACAGATTTCACTTTGTAATAGATGTAAGTGCAAATTGCACTCTACTGCATGTGTTTGGAGGGCTCGGTGAAGATGCAGTGTCTTGCTTCCTCTGCGAATTCCCGAGTTCAGGAGCCCAGACGGAGGTTGCCCTGGACTGCTAATCCCCAGACCTAGTGGGTTCAGAGGCGCCCTCCTGGATTTGCGGACCTCTCCCAAGGAGACGGTAGGGGCTTGCTGATTTATGCGCATTCCTTTAAACTTGATCGAATGCATGTCAGCCGACCAAGAACTGGAGAATCAGAGAAATGTGCAGCGAGTTGCTCACATCCCGTTTCTCATAAGCGAAGATGTAGAGTTATCCAAAAGGCAGAGGGAGATTTATGCCTAGGTTTTAGGACAGGCACGCTAATTAAGTTTTCATCTGCTAGGCCGCCGGGTCCGTAAAAACAGCCGGCCTCATTCTTTATGAAAATGCCCACTCAATCCTTGTGCATCTACCTATCTCTGATGAATGCCTGAATAGTGCTTGCTATTTTTAATTTTATTTTAAAGGGAAGAAAAAAAGACACTGGCGCAGAAAAATTCCTCCATGAAAGCAGCCAAGGCCTTGCCACAGTTGATTTCATTTCTGCCCGGCTCTCGTGGCGCTGAAGAGCCGGATCCACCCGGCAGAAATAATTACAACGGGTCTCAGAGATTTCCAAACCTCTGAGGGCGGTTGTGCGGCGACATAGGACCTCCCCCAGGTACTGGGGTGTGAACTCCGAGAGCTACCTGATGTCGCGCCCCTCGGGGACTGAGGCGCGGCCCCAAACCCTCCACGCTTCTACAAGAACCCCCTACTCAAAATGGAGGCTCAGGCCGGTGGAAAGCCGGCCTCCCTCAGACGGCACGCGGGCCGGTCGGGGCTGCGGTAGGACGGCGGGCTGAGGTCCCAGCGCGGAACCGCGAGGGCCGGGTCTGTGCGGGTGAGTGGCCCCGCAAGTGCAGGCTGACGTCACCGCAGGCCGCGCGGGCCTTCGCGGGACTCCCCGGGCGCGGCTGGATCAGCACAAGCCGACTTCAAGGAATGTTTGGTGCGGGTGCCCACTTCCCCGCCCCGCCCCGCCCTCCCCAAGAGAATAATCCGGTATTTAATCTCTCCCGGTCTTAATTCTTGGCAGCGTGGAAGGTGGTTTGCAACGGGAAATAAAACTTGACAGGAGCATTTTCTCTAAAAGGGATTTTGAGACGAGCTGAAAAGAAACCGTGTTTTTCTCTACCAAATACTTCCGCTTTCTGAACCCGGAGCCGAGGGAGGGAGCGATCCGAGGGAGCGGAGAGCAAGCCGGGCACGCGAGGCCACGCTGTGCACCCCACCGGCCGCGCCGGCCGCCCGGGCGGGAGGCAGCCTCGGGCTCCGCTGCGCCCCGCGCCTCTACCACGCTCCGTGCCGCTGGGCTGTAGGCCCCGGCGCCGCCCGCAGCCCGAGGTTGGGACCCCGCGCATGGGACCGTGGCACCGGCAGGTCCCGGTTGGCACCCAGAGTGGTACCCAGGCGCTGGCTGAGGGAGGCTGGGGTCAGGCGAGAGAAGAGGGCCCTGGAGAGAGGGCCTTAAGGAGCTTGGCGTTAGCTCTGAGCCTCTGGCCTGGGGGGGTTGGCAACAGCCGCTTGCAAGAAGGGTGGTGAGAGCAGGGCTGGGGGCTTTGTTTCCGGCCTCGGGTCTGCGGACTCTGCACAAAATGGAGGGGGAAAGGGGGTGAGCGCGCAGCAGGCGTGGGTCGAGCGGACTGCTATTGGGTGGAGGAGGCTGGAGAGAGCAGAGTCCCCCTCCCCGCCGCTCAGCGAGCGCCCTTCTCTCTCGCCGTAAAGGTCAAGTCCTCCGCGCCACGGCCGCCTCCATGGTCAGGGCCGGTCGCTGCTGCGGTCTCAAGAAGGCACAGGACGTGCAGTTAGCTTGCTGCAAGCGGGTTCTGGTAGCCTGGGCTCTGGGCTCGTGCACTGGAGGCAGAGGTTCTTTCTTGATTTCCAACTCTCCCATTCCCAGCCTTGTTGGAAAGGAGTCCTGGTAGCCACGGGTGGCCCAGGCTGTGTCCCCGTCCCAGAAGAGCGGCATTTGCCCCAGTCCAGCAGACTTCGGAGCCCGCTGAGGCCTAGCAGGGGCTAGAGGGAGCGCCTGCAAGCCCAGGGGAGAGGACGTGGCTGGATCGGAGTTCTGGGTCCTGGTAGGAACATAGGGCCGAGCAGGGCCAACTTGGCGGGGAAGAGGATAGGGGAGCCAAGACCCTGCTGGAGAGCCTCTCCTGGGGTCCCTGAGTCCAGGCCCCTCCGGAGTGCGTGGCAGGCCTTTGGTGAGACCCTTGATGCTCTTCTCCTGCCTAAAATCCACACTGAGATGTGAGGCGCAATCTTCCAAGGTAAAAACCCTTGACTCCCAGCCCCCAAGAATCCTTCTCTGCACTCTGCGAGGGAGAGAGCCCCCTACCTCCTGCCCATAGCCTGCCTCCAACAGGTCAGAGCATCAGGCCCTGCGGTAAACAGTTAGCTTAAGCCTGATCTGCCGCTGAGCCTGTCTCTCCAGGTGAACCAAAGAGGACGTGCAAGGGATTTCTTTTCGCGGAAGCGAAAAATCTGAGTTGTACCCCTAGGGCTACACGGATGGGCTGGGCTGTGGGGGCATATATAGCAGAAACAATTGTCTGTGAATGGGTAGCAGAAATGCCTGGCAGGGTGTGTAGGGGAGGAGGGCTGGATGGGGTGATGGTTCTTCTCAAGCCTGGAATGTGAGCCACCACGAGCACTGAGTGGAAATGGAGCTGCCCTAGGAAGCAGTTGGAGCTTTGTGGCATGCGGGCTTCCTGTGAGCTACGGCTGTGGGGACCGAGGCCCAAGGACCAGAGCCAACCTTCGGGTTGAGCCACCCCCTTTTATCTTCTTTATCTCAGACACACTCTGCTGGGAAACCCGTTTGGGCCAAAGCTGCACGGGGAATGGAAGGCAGATCCTGAGAACTAGGGCTTCGCCCTTCAAAGTCTCCCCCACCCCATTTGTTCCCACTCTATAGGAAAAAGAAGTCTAATAATTGGCAACAATAAAAATAAAAATAGTTAATAAAGGAAGTAAATCTTCTCTTCTCCCTTCAGTTTGGGATCCACTAATGTAAATGATAACCAGATTGCTTGGGTACTTGAGACCCTCAGCTGAGCCCTGTGCCCCACTCTGCAGTGGCCAGGGGAAGGGTATGGGCCTTTTCAGATATTTAGGGGCTTTGAAGGATGACTGAAACTGCCAGTCAGACCAAACAGAATTATGAGGTCAACTTCAGGGCACTACCTATTTCTGAGCTTTTAGGAAGTGTAGGAGACCTTGGGGGAGGGTGGGTGTCTCAGCAAAGGGACAAATTAACCCCTGCCTCCACCTGGTAGTGACAGAGGTGATCTCTTGATTTTTTATCGAAGCCTCAGTGCTGCCTTTGTGCAGCGCCTGGAAAATGTGATGGATTGGCAATGATCTGGCAATAAGCCATGCCCTGAGAACAAATACTGGGAGATCTCCTGGGCCTTCCTGGGCAACTCACCTCCCCAGCTCACCATGGAAAACAAACGTGCCCACAGGAACCCTTCTATTTGGAAGGAGATATTCCTGAAATGGAGGAGAAGAGCTCTGTTGCCATTTCTACCCAGGGCCTCCCGGCCAGTTCTTGCACCTGTGTGCAGTATGATCACCAGGGTTGAAATACTCTTCTGTGTAGCTTTCTAGAAACAGTGCGACATTTGTGGACAGAGGAAAGTAAGGGCTTAGGCAAGCAGGAGGAGGCAAATATTGATGGTGCCCTAAGCAATCCAACAAGAGAGAAACTTAACTGTAGCCATCTGGGAGTGAGATTCAGTCTGTCAAGTGGGTCCTCACCCCTGCCAGGCCTATCCCATCTGGGTTGCCCAGCCTAGAAAAGCAGCAGCTGGGTCTGCAGAAAAGGAGGAAGTGTTGGGGAAGAAAGGAGGCTAGAGAAGGGAGGGGAGAGGAAGGGAGATAAGCCGGATTTGGTGGGGCCTTGGGGTGGAGTATTCCAAAGAAGGAGGTGGAAGACTTAGTTCAGGCTCTGGTGGAGGCCCGAAGTTGGGGGAGAGTCAGGGACCTAACAGCCCCTCTGCTCTGCACCTGAGTATTGGGTGCCCTCCAGTGGCACCTCAGCCCTTGCTCAGTCTAGGAGAGGCATCAAAAAAGGTAGGGAAGAGTCCCAGCAGGTGAGAATGGCTGGAAGGAGGCAGGGCAGGAGACAGGAACTTTAGGGGGGACAGGAGCAGGATCAGGAACTGTAGGGGGACAGGACCCCCTTGAGAAGGACAGTGGTGACTGGGGCAGCTTGGCATTGACATTGAGACTGTGGACAAATGCTGGGCATTCAAAGGCCTGCATGTGCAAGTACTGGGGACTTCGCATTCTCAGATTTCTGGGACAAGGAGCAGCTGCTGCCTCCCAAGCTAGCCCCAAGGAGAGAAGAGGGTGGCCCAGCAGCTTTGTCAGTTGGAGCTGAGAAGCCTGGAGTGTGGAGGTGCTCCCGGCCACCCAGCTCTATCCTCCCTTGGAGTGAGAGGGTGTTAAGCTGCCTGTCAAGTGACGATCCTTGCAGCTCACATCCCTTGAATGACTGTGCTGGAAACGCCCCCAGCACAACAACCACGGTAACAAGGCCTCGCATTGCCCGGTGCGCACCGACGGCTTCAAGGCCACCCCGCCTGGGCACTGCCCGCCGGCGCCCTCCCGCTGCCTCCCGGACCCCTCCGGCTGCAAGAAGAAGCGGAGGCGGCAGAGGCGCCTGGACCCACTTTATTTCGATATTCCGCCTGCAAAGGCGGTGGAACGAAGCGTAAGGCTCAGGGATGGTCGTCCCCAGAGAGGAGGGTCCCGGAGGCGCTGTGCAAGCCCCCCCTCCCCAACCTTTCGGGCCAAATCAGACGAAGCCTCGGAAAGGCTCGGTCTGTTTTGCTGACCAAATCTCCTTGTTAGCCGTTTCCGCCTGACAAGCCTGGCGCGGGCGTCGGCCTTCTCCTCTCCGGGTGGCCACCTCCAAATGCTGTGCGGGGAGCGATGGGGCCCGGCCTTGCAGAGGGCTGCCTGGACCTTGAAATTTGGAAAAACAAGAAGAGACTGAACCGGGCTCCCTCCCTTCTCTGCAGACACACACGCACCGTCAGGCCGCCGCCACTTCCTGCCTTTGTTTTTCTTCCTCCAAACATTTTTTGGCCTCTTGCATTAGCCGCGGTGGGGCTCTGGGTTGACGATAAAAGGAAATACACCCTGAACAGTTTTCTGGAGATGGCGCGAGCTCTGGAGCTCCTGAGAAAGAACAGCTCCTGGGAAGCCAGTCGCCAGGGCCAATGTCACAGCCTTACCCGCGCCGGCCTCTTCAAGAAATGGAACTCGGACTTGGCCTTCCGGGGCGGCTTTAGCCTCAGTCGGGTCTTTCCCAGAGCCCAGTGGGTTACGCTCGGCTGTTGGACCTCCTGCAAAGCGGAAGAGTCAATCATAGGATCAGAGCAAAGTCAAAACCAAGGACCTGAAGGTCTGCCTTCCCTTCTTCCCCTGAATTTGGTCTGATCCTCAGAGCTGCGCCCACCCCTCACCCCAGCCGCCTGCCTGGAGAAACCTTCACATTCACACCGCCAGCGTATTCCGCACACGAGGGCAGGAGCGGGCAAAACTGGGACATTGCGCAGTCTTGGGGACCTGAGTACCCTTCTCCTATTCCTGCTGGGCAACTAAAAGCGTTCGGTCACTTCAGGCTTTTTCCCTTCTGCTGATATCAAAAGCCTTTTCCCTCATCCATCTTCACGGCAGCGCCCCCACACACCCACTTCCAGGCTGCAAGTCCCTCCGGGCACCCGGCTTCGGTGCAGCCTGCCGAAATGCCCTGCCAGCCGCTCCCGGAGCGCCTTTTTCACCCCCAGCCTTTTATCCGGAATTCGCCTTTGTCTCCTGCGGACACCCATGGGATCCAGCCCTGCCAGCACCCTCTCGGTCTGGCTCTCCAGGAGGACATGGGAGGCAATGGTTATGCGGAACAGCGCACACCCCCATACCGACCTTTCTGCCGGGACCGCTCTCCCTGACACCAGGGGAAAACCGATCTAATTAAGAGAGGGGCTGCGTGCCGCTGGGGGAGGTGGCCTGGCATCCCCCGCTGGCGGGCCACCACAGCCCCGTCTGTTCAGGCACAAGCTGAAGTTGACTGCCAAAACTGCTATAAAACCGCAGGTCTGTCTAGAACTGTTTTCGGTTTTCCTAGACGCCCCCGGGTTCAATTATGGTCTTAAAAGCCCTAATACAAGTGCAAGAATTTGTTTGCCTTCACCCAGGGGCGGGGCGAGCCCCGCAATGGTGGCGCCTTTGTTATGGCAAAGTCACTGAAACCCTTCATGCATTCCTTTTGTTCGAAGGTAGGGGTGGTGAGGACTGGGTGGGCTGCAGAGAGAGAGTTTGGGATAGCCAAAATCAAGCCAGGGAACAGCTGGAATACCTTTGTTTGAAACCTCTCCTTCTGTCTTTTATATTCTGTCTCTAAAAAAGAGATGCTGTGGAGAAACAAATATTTAGCCTTGTTGGTCACTGCTGGAAATAGAAGTTTTTTCGCCGCAGGGCAATTCTGTAAATGTGCATCCCAGCTTTAGGAGGTCTGAAGCTACTCTTCTCCAATAACCTTCCTTCCCATTGGAACTTCTCACTCACAGCACTGCTGCCCTCTGGACAAGCCACAGTGGACAAATATGTCAAGCTGAAGATGCACAAATAATTTCAAATTCAGTTCTCAGGGATTCAAGGGACATGAAAGTTCTTGTAGCAAATCTTGAATAAAGAGTTCATTAAACCAATGTGTCCAAGTAGCTTGATTTGTGATAAGCAATCCTTGTAAAGGTGGTGGTGGGGGGAGGTGGAAAGCCACAGAAACATTAATGCTAGTAAATTAGTTTACTCGACTACAGAGTAATTACTCGATATTATTGATATTTACAGCAGGTATTCAAATGCAATGGTAGGCCATTATTTGGAGAAAATACATAATGAGAATATTTCTTTTCCAGTGCAATACATGATTAGATTTGTTATTGAGTCAGTTACAGTCAGCTCAGCAATAAATAAATAAATCGATGATGACACTTATATACCAAAGATCTTAGAGTTTATACTCTAAATCTTCCCCAAAATATGTAAATACCTTTGGCTATTTCCTGGAGAGGGAAAAGCAAAAGGTTATCTTTTTATATATCTTTTATTTTCCTTCAGCAACACTCCAGATCCTTGCAAGAAGAGAGTTGTTGGGAGGCCTCAGGTCTGGGCCCCTCTCAGCTCCTGGCCCTGCCTGGCTGCTCTGTGTCCTCTCCCTTCTTTCGCTTCCTCCAAACATTGCTCCTTCAATCCTGCAGGTTGTGGAACATATTTTGCCTTCTTAATTTATTTTTTTCCTCTTCTCAAGAAAGCTAGACTCAGAGTATTGCTATGGTCTCTCTTTATTCTTAGCACAAACCTAGCCTTTTAAAGGCATCCCTGTCTTCCCAGGTGCAGGGAGTTGGGGAAGCACCTCTCCTTTCTCTGGCATTGTATTCCTTCTGTGGAATGAATAGTAGGAAAGGCACAGAGCTCTCTGAGTTTTAGCCCTGCACATCCCTTGCTTTCACTCTCACACATTGCAAGGAAAGAGAGAAGGAGAGCAGGAGAGTAGGCGAGTTACCCCTTTCTCAGCCACCTCTCCTTGGCCCTCAGCCCGTCCTTTCCACCCCCATTCTCCCCACACCCCTGGAGCTCTGCAAGCAGCCTGGTGGGCCCCCCACGAAGATGCAGCATACCCAGGAGAAGGCTCCTCGGATGTCAGCGCCTCTAAAGCAGCCCAAGGGTTGCCTCAATTGCATGGTTTCCCGCGTCCTCAGCTCCAGAAGACCAGGCAGATGGGTGGACCGGTGAGCAGCGGGGCAGCCCCTGTACCTCTGTCTCTGCCGAGTCACTCCGAAGCCCGGCAGGCAGCGAGGAGGAGGGGGTTTCTCCAAGGACAGAAGGTGGGATGAGGAGGCAGGCAGGGAAGATGAGGGGAGAGGTGGATCCCGGGTAAGACGAAGGCCCTTCTGGGCCCTGCGGATCAGTGACAAACCGCGGGGAGAAGCCGTTCTGGCTGTGGGCGGTTTAGGGACGGAAGGCACTAAAGCGCTTCGGAAGTGACCATGAATGAGAGAGTGTAATCAAGTCACCGTGCAAATCGGACAAGCCACGAGGCAGGCACATCCACGGCTTCAAACTCTGGCCCCGAAGGGGTGCCGGCTAGGGTCGGAGGCAGAGGCGCTTCCCAGAGCAAGTCTATGGGAGGGGGACTGCGAAGAACGGGGTGCAAATGCGAGCCTCCAGGAGAACAGACTCCGAGACCACAAGCCACACAGCGACGGGCTCCCACCTGGCTATCCCCAGTCCAGGGCACCCCTCACCCACCCGGAGAGCTGCGGGTGGGAGGTGGGCACGAGAGTTGAGCTCTCACCGCCCTCTGCACACTCGAGAACCAGGACCCTGCAATTGAGCACAAGCATGCTGCATGAGGGCGCACCCCAGCCTCTCCGCGCGCCGGGAGGCCCCCAGCGAACATGAGTTACACCGGCGATTACGTGCTTTCGGTGAGAACACCGAGTGACGATCTGTTGCTTCCCCTGAGGTGGCTACAAAGAAAGGAAGCCGGGAGGGAGGGGAGGGGAGGAAAAAAAAAAAAAAGGAAAGGAGGGGGAAAAAAAGGCCCGGACTAGCTCGCAGCTTGTCAATTTCAACATCGGGTCACATGACCAGCACCTCCCTGCTAAGGATGGGGATAGATTTCCACGTCAGCTTACGTCTCCAAATTTCTACTTCACGGATCCGCTTCAAAGAGGCAGCTGCAGTGGAGAATCATGTTAAGCTCGGCTACTGCGGAGAGCCCAAGGTAGCCCAATGATGGATTTTGATGAGCGTGGTCCCTGCTCCTCTAACATGTATTTGCCAAGTTGTACTTACTACGTCTCGGGTCCAGATTTCTCCAGCCTCCCTTCTTTTCTGCCCCAGACCCCGTCTTCGCGCCCAATGACATACTCCTACTCCTCCAACCTGCCCCAGGTCCAACCCGTGCGCGAAGTGACCTTCAGAGAGTACGCCATTGAGCCCGCCACTAAATGGCACCCCCGCGGCAATCTGGCCCACTGCTACTCCGCGGAGGAGCTCGTGCACAGAGACTGCCTGCAGGCGCCCAGCGCGGCCGGCGTGCCTGGCGACGTGCTGGCCAAGAGCTCCGCCAACGTCTACCACCACCCCACCCCCGCCGTCTCGTCCAATTTCTATAGCACCGTGGGCAGGAACGGCGTCCTGCCACAGGCTTTCGACCAGTTTTTCGAGACAGCCTACGGCACCCCGGAAAACCTCGCCTCCTCCGACTACCCCGGGGACAAGAGCGCCGAGAAGGGGCCCCCGGCGGCCACGGCGACCTCCGCGGCGGCGGCAGCCACGGGCGCGCCGGCAACTTCAAGTTCGGACAGCGGCGGCGGCGGCTGCCGGGAGACGGCGGCGGCGGCGGAGGAGAAAGAGCGGCGGCGGCGCCCCGAGAGCAGCAGCAGCCCAGAGTCGTCTTCCGGCCACACTGAGGACAAGGCCGGCGGCTCCAGTACGTATAAAGGCAGCGCCCTGCGCTTTATGAAAGGGGAGTTGGAAATCTAGCGCAGCACCGCTGTTAAATTTTTATATGCTGTTTTATAAGCATATAAGGTTTATGAAGGGCCTTTAGGTTTCCCCCAACAAAACTTTGTTATAAAAGGCGGGATCACGTGGCGAGTGCTGAAATTGGCCGTGAAATACCCACCGGCCAAGGCATGTCTGCAAAAAAAAAAAACAACTCCTCTTTTCGCTTTTTTCCCTTCTCAGCTCCCAAGCCCGGCAGCTCGACCCCGCTCGGGGCCAGCTCCGGGCTGGGGAGCCAGAGGTGGGCGCCTGTAAATTCCCCCTGCAAGGGCTTCGGGAGCCTTTGATAGCAAGGTAATCCGGAGATTTTTATAAAAGCCATGTGTTGCGCCGGGACTCCAGTCCGGCCGGGATTCAAAGGCGTCGCTGTTTAACGACGGCGCTAGGAGCGCGTTTAACAGATAAAGTAGCCCGCTTAGCTCCAGCAATATATTAAAAGAAACAAATTAACCCAAAGTTGGCCTTTTTGTCCAAAGGAAGCCATTTTCCTCTGGCGTGGTGGCAATTACGTGCCTCCTTCTGCCCAACTGCATGTTATTCACAATTGTTATTCAATCTGTCAAAAGCGATTTTTTTTCTTGTCTTGTGGGTCTTTTTTTTTTTTTTTTTTTTTTTTAAGGGGGATCAAGTAGAGCCTGCCCGCAGCTTCGGGAAGCCCCCTTTGCCTTCACCCTACCTAAGATAGCGCCACTGCTCTGCCGTGTGCAGGGTGACCGTGTGTCCGTGGTGCTCAGCGAAGGCCTGGGGTAGGGGGCTTCCGCTGCCACCTCCCCACCTCGGGGGAGCCGGGAGGCTGGCTGGGGAGGCAGGAGCTGGTGGCCAGGACTCAGGCTGACAAAGACCCGGCAGCCGCCGCAGATGTTAACGACTGCCCAGTCTTGGCCGCAGCCTGGAAAGATTGGGACTGGAGCCGCCTTTACTGCCTTGGGAAGGGGCAGCCCAGGTGCTGGAAGGTGAAATGTCCGCAGGCGGCTGTTTGTTTAGTCTGGCCGGCTAGAGGCAGCCGGCAACCCCCACTCGGCTGCTTTCAAAGAGGCTTAGGCAGCGCAAACTCGCCTGTTGCTGTGCGAAGCCCTCCTTTCTGTTCTGGGGGCAGCGGGAGCAGCTTCCCCGGGGGCCTATCTAGGGAGCTGGCTTTTATCTGTGGCTGAGCCTCCAACTGCGACGGTTCCAAGCATGCAGTCATAGAGTTAAAGGCAGGGGCCTGGGGAGACTTTGACGGGGCTTGGGCTGGACCACCAGTCCCTGTGGCAGCCCTTCTCCTCAGCTATGGGCTCTGGGGTGGATTGCAGCCCCACACCGGACTCACCCCCTGCCTTTTCTCCCTTCACAGGTGGCCAACGCACCCGCAAAAAGCGCTGCCCCTATACAAAGTACCAGATCCGAGAGCTGGAGCGAGAGTTCTTCTTCAGCGTCTACATCAACAAAGAGAAGCGCCTGCAACTGTCCCGCATGCTCAACCTCACTGATCGTCAAGTCAAAATCTGGTTTCAGAACAGGAGAATGAAGGAAAAAAAAATTAACAGAGACCGTTTACAGTACTACTCAGCGAATCCACTCCTCTAAGGCTCCAGCGGCTGGAATTGGGTGGGGGGCTTCATACACATGAGATAATATGCAGATTTTGCCCTTGACAAGGTCAAGCCACATGGTGACTTTTGAAAAGAGGTGTGCAAGAGAGGGATGCATGGAGATAGCCCCACACGAGGCGGCCTGGGACTCTCTTGGGATCTCTTGGGACTCTCTGGGATCTCTTAAGATCTCAGTGGTTAAGATTCCTAATAATCATTGGATTCTGAGAGCTGTGTATCAGCTAGAATGACAGGTTTGGGACCCCTGGTGGTTCACTCTTGGAGCCTGCAGAGCTGCGGGCTGGGTGTGGTCTCCACTGGGGACTGGGCCCCCTGCCAGACCCCCTGGAGGCTAACCCCTCCACATCCTCCCTCTACTGGGAGCCTACCCACCCCCAGGACCCCTGAGTCAAAAAGCTGTGTGCTCTCCAAGACCAGTTCAGCTTGGGGACAGGGGCAGGAGGAAGGGGTAGGATTACTAGGTGCCCAGAATGAGGCTGCTTTCCAAAGCCAATGTGAACGGCGGCGGCTGGACTTAGAGGTGGCTATGAGGTGGAAGAGGGCTGCAAATCCTTGTGGGAAAAGAAATCTGTGATTCCAGGTGGCGTCAGTGTCTTTCCACTCCTCCTAGCCACCCACTACACTTATCCAGCCCTGAGTTCCTAGCCACCGCCTCCTACAGCCCACCTGGCTTTTCTTTCTACCAAATGAGGGTCTTGGTTTCAGCCTACCACTCAGGCCCAAAGCCTCGTCGCAGAGTGGACTGTTCCCTGAGGTGGGAGATATGGAAAAGCCAAGAAGCTGCGGCCAGGCCACTGGCCCCTGAGATCTCTGCAGGAAATGGCTGTGGAGTGCGGCAATTTGGCAAACTCTCCACCACATGTAATGAAGCTTGGATTTGCTCAGTGTCTGGCTGCGGAGCAGCAGGCCTGGCCAGCAGGTCTCCAGCTTTGGCTATGAGGGCCTTGAGTCCCCCAAAACACCGGGTTCCAGCACCACACTCTACCCTCATTGGCTCCTGAACTGAGCTTGGAAGCTTCTGGTGACCTTCCAAGAGCCTGAGAGTGAGGTGGAATTATTTTAAAAGATAAATATTATATTATATATATATATTTCCCTGAAGGAACCAAAGCGAATTTTAAAAGATGCAATGTAGAGGGGAAAAGAGATGATGAAAATATTTAAAGGCTCTATCTGTTTACAGTGTTCCATGGTTAAACTCGCTCACTGCTAAGAATATTTGAATGTATGCTTCATACAGGGATGGTGTTCAAAAAACTTGTAAATAAAGAAACCATAACCAATTTTGTTTTCCTTCCTTCCTTCCTTCCTTCCTTCCTTCCTTCCTTCCTTCCTTCCTTTCTTTCTCTTTCTTTCTTTCTTTCTTTCTTTCTTTCTTTCTTTCTTTCTTTCTTTCTTTCTTTCTTTCTTTCTTTCTCTTTTTTGCCATTAGTTGATTTCCTTTGGGGTGTTGGAGGGGGTGGAAAAGGTATTGAGAATGGTCTTTTTAATCTCTTGCAACATTTGGAAAGTGTTAGGGAAATGCTCAGAGGCAGTCAGCCTGCCCAGACTGGGGATCTCATCTGGGAAAGCCAGGCACCCTCCCATTGAATCTCCTTTGCCTCCCTGTATTAAGAAATGTCTATTGGCTCCATTTGTACTGGGAGTGTTGGCCTGTCCTCAATTCTGGTTCTTACCCACCGTGTGTGTTGCAGCATGTATACAGGCAACTGGGCACAAGGAAAATAAAGACGGTGGAAATTGGAGTATCCTGGTGTGACATTCCTCTCCCTGATCGCCTTTTACTGCCAAATGTCTGCCCCCCTCCCCCACCCCCCCAAAAAAAACGCCCTACCTAGTTGAGGGGCAAGTTATCCGGCCCCTGAAAGGGTGAGAAGGTGACTAAGTCAGGAATTGGCTACAATAGAAGCCAGGCTTAGGAAGCCAAGGTGGTTGGCTATGTCCTTGTGGGAAGTGGGGACCTGGGGATGGGGTATCTCAGGGCCTGGAATAATGGACTTTATCCCCTCAGACTGACCTCAGCCCTGGAGAGGGCCTTGGGGCCTGAGGTGGCCAACAGGTCAGACCCCAGGCTGCCCTCGCTCACCTCAGGACCGCTAGGCCTACAATGGGACCGTCCGGGGGCCCGTGGAGGCTTCATCAAGCCCGGTCTGGGTTCCAAGGCAGGGCAGACTCCCAGGAGCCTCTAAGGGTGCTTTTTCCCCAGCTCCCAGCTGAGGCTGCTTTTTCCCTTTGGGAAAAAAGAAAAAAAAAGGATGCCGGTTTCCTCTTTGTTTGCTGCCTTTGAACTTCTGCCTTAAAATTGGACATCACCCATAACCTTGAGGAGAAGGGCTGAAAGGACAGAGCCCTTTGTTGCCCACTCCACCCTCTCTTCAGCCACCCAGGCAGGGCCAGAGCAGCAGATAGGGTCGCATTTGGAGAGAGGCCCCAGACCCCACTCTGTTTATTTGTTTGTGTGTTTGTCTAACTGGCGCGACTGGGGAAATCAAGCTAAAGGGGAGTGGGACAGACCCCGAGATGAATGTCTAGGTTGATAGGCAGACACGCAGAGACGAACAAGGGCCCTCCTGGGGGGCAGGGAGGGGGCGGGCTGGGAAGCCTGGGTTTAGGGAAAGACTTCCTTTGGGATGGTTAAAGATTAACCAAAGTCTCTCAAGTTGCTAGAGAGAGTCTAGTCAGGAGGACTGCTCGCGGGCGGGCGGCGGGCGGGCGGCGGGCGGGCGCGGGTTTGATTTCTGAGCCCTATAAAAGCCCATCCTCCGATGGCTGTGACAATGTGGTCGTAAACCCGTCTGGGGCCGGCGAATTTGCATATTTGGAATGCGCCGCTATAAACCCGGCTGGGGTTTTGCAGCGATTTCTTAGATGTAAAAATGAGATCTCAATAGCAGCGGGCTGGGCACATCCTCTCCTCTCTCGCTCTCTGCCCGAAGCCGGTTTCCCTCTCTCGGCTCGGAGCTGGAGCTCCGGCCCAACGTAGGCGCGCAGCCGCCACGAGATGGCGCACTTCCGATCAATGTCAAAGCCGCCGGGGAGCCGGGAACCCCAGCGTGATTCTTGGCCTTTGTTCGTTTCTGATACTAAGAGCAGCACGGTACATTATTTCACTTGTCCCGCTCCCCTTCGTATCAGAAAAAGGGGGCTCACCCTCAAGAAGTGGTTAGTATTGTAATTTAAAGCAACGCGCATTCGCTAGGCCTCGCGAGCGTCGCCGCGCGGAGAAGCCAGCTGCCCCTTGGCAGTGATTTCGGAAATGTGTCAAGGTAAGAGGCCACAAGTTTAGCAATTTCAGTCTGGTGGGGCGCGAGTGGGAAGGTGGCCGATGTCTAAGCAGGGTTCTCGGGAACGTGGCTGGGTTTGTGGGGTGATGCGGTAGGGAGCCCCCACCTCATTGCTCCCGAAGGTTGGAAAGCAGGGGGAGGCCTAAGTAGAAAAGTTGAGGATTTTATTTCCTTGCGCTAGCATTTCACCCAAGGCGAATCGTTCGATTTTTGTAGAAATATTCAGAATAGAATGGGCTAGGGATGAGAGGTATCTAGGCGAAAGGGTTCCAGCTGTGCTGGGATAGGGGGCTGTGGGAGGGGAAAAAAAAGAGAGAGAGAGATGATCGGGGCTTGAGGAAAACAGAAAGTTTCCATTCTAAACAATGGGGTGGTAGAAGTCTGCGGCCGGTAAGGCGAGCACATTCCCAGGGGCAGACGTCCTGGAGGTCACTGGTTTCCCACTAGGTGCATCTCTAGGTCTGCCCAGTAGCTTGGAGAAAACCTTTGTTCCGAAGAAGGCCAATTCGGAGAAGTCGCATGTGATTTTTGAGAGTGCCAGACCAGTCTCTGTACTGCATACTTGGAGTACGCTGTTATAAATCCCGCGATTTTGCAGCAATTTCTTACATGTGAAAATTAGATCTTTTGTAAAAGATATTTTGCAAATATGCAAAAATGTATTGGTAAATACTAACACTTTTTTTTAAAAGCTGGGGCCAAGGATAAATTTTGACGGAGCAATCACTCCATCGGGGTTGTCACCAAACACATTTTAAATGATAAAAATTCACTTACATTTTGGAGGGCCGATTCAAATTCCCTCTTTCTCCTATATTTATTTTTTAATACTATTTTTCCATTAGTTTCCCATATCTTTTTCTTTTCCCAAATATACAGTGTATGGTGAGTGGGGGGAATCCCAGAGAAAGTAGGCACTCCCTGTTGTGTAAATTTTGCCTATCATAGTTAGTCTTTGCTGAAAGCTGGCTCCCAAACTATGCCGGAGCAAAGCAACAAGGCAAGAAATGAGCGCTCACCCAGTGAGCTGCTCTCTGCAGCGGGAGCCGGCCCTACAATGCCCGAGCTGCCTCCAGTTCTAAGGCAAGAGGCGGTTTGTTATGAACAAAACTAAGAATATTGCAATTCAAAGGGTGTGTGAAAAGGCCCCAACACTTCCCTAACAGGGGTGGGGCCATCTCAATGGTTGGATTTAGAAAAACTTTAAAAGTATGTTGTTTAGTAATAGACTGCACCTGATAGATTCAAAACAGACGCGTCAAATATCCCTGAAAATGTTGACATTCTTAAAGATGAATCAGAAAAGAACGTCATTGCTTGTGGAAAAATTTTCTAACTATGCATAAATGCATGGATCTGAGAAGCTCTGATTTTTTAAATTTTTTTCTGCTAAAGCCAGATATGTAAAAGCAGACTTTATTTTTCTTCTGTGGTGCTGCAGCCCAACTCCACCGCTGGATAATTCAGAGCCTTGAAAGCATTGAGAGTGCCCTCCAGACACAAATTGTTTACCAGCAGTTTCGATCTCAGGACCGGGTATTTTTTCTTTAGGAACTTGTTTTTCATAATAGTTTATTTCTCATTGCTTACAAGGGCCTACTCAGAAGGAGTACCTAGTGAACTGCAGTCTAATCCTTGCCGAAGGCCTTAATCCATGGGCCTGGTGTTTATTTTGGCCCCATAGGGTTGGCGGGCTATTACCCAGGTAGAAATGGGCAGTATTTCCTCCTAAATTAAACATGGGCTCTGGAGGTGACTGTGTAACCGCTGCATAAGGCCTGGTTGAGGCAAGCAGGCACTGAAGATTTAGGTCAAAGGTACCCTGAGGGAGAGGGAGAAATTTAGTAGCTGGGAAGAATGGCAAAAAAGAAAGAAGGCAAACGAGCACGAGGGAGGAAAAGTGCTTGGAAGCCGACCCACACTACAATTGAATCTCTTTCTTAATCTCTTGGGGTAGGGAATCTCAGGAAAGCCTAAGCGCTCAATAACTGGAATATTTTATTGAGAAACCTAACACTTCAGTGTTAAAGTCTAGAGAGCGTGGGAGCCTTGGGGATCGGTCGGGGATGCTGGGGGCTAGGAGACCAACCGAGAGGGCCAGGGAGGCGTTTAACTTGAGCTTCTGCTGCGTTGGTATCCTCTCATTTGAACCAGCAGCAGCAGGCCCGCCTGCAGTCAGCCGGCTCACGGACAGTGTCTCGCTGTGTTTCCCGCTCAGCAAGCCCTGGTGGGAGTTGGAAGGCAGTCCTGGGCCAGAGAGGGGCTGCCATACACAAGCTTACATACTCTTTTTAAAAGCAAGAAAGAGCTCAAGCCCAACATCCCGTTTGGTTTATTACAAGGGGGAAAAGTCATGCTAAAGAAACACATCTGGCTTACCACAAAAAGGTCACTGAAGACCCAAGTGCCAATGCCACGGCCTGCGAGGCCCATAGCAGGCCTTCCAGCTCCTCTACTCTTCGGCTGAGGCAGCCTTTTGTAGCAGACGCAGTACAAACTGACTTTTGTAACCTTGGTTGGCACGTGCAGGTCCCTGGATTCTATCCAGCCTAGAAGCCCATTTGGCTGCCCTACAGGGCCCTGACCTGAGCTGTCTGCCGCAGGGCACCCAGCTTGTCTTACCAGCCAAATTGGCAGGGCCCCCAAGTCCCAGGAGACTGGGGGACTCTGGAGGACCTAAGGAAAAGACTGAGGGGTGTGTGAACTCCTTCGAAATGATGGGTCAAACTGTGGGAATATACCGATATGCATTTTTCACAGAATAAGTCAAAACTTACTTAGATTTTCCAGAAGGGTCCTGACTCCCCAAAAGGTTAGGAAAGATAAGTTAAGATCATTGTATTTTACTTTATTTGTATAGCCTCCACTATCTCAAACATATACTGGACCTTCCCAGATGTTGGCCTGGGAAGCTGCTTTCTGCATTTAGCCTGGAGAGGCATGATTCTAGGCCCAAGTCCTGGCCCACTGACCTGCTATGGCTCATTATCCAAGAGGAAACCTCGATGCTCTTGTGACCCACTTCCCAAATGACACAGCTTTTCTGAGAGGCATGGGCAGTGCTGAAGAGCAAAGCTTCCTTCCTAGGCAGTCCCCAGCTCTGTGGCATTTCCAGGTGGCATTGCTAAGGGCAACAGTCCCAGCCAGTTCCACCCATCTGGTGAGCAGGGTAAGGACCAGGCAGATCCAGAAAGCTAAAGATAGGGCCATTGACTGCGGTGCTCTGAAGCTTTTCTGCATTCAGGTTCGTCTGCCTCATGGGCCTAGCAGGTAGAGAATTTGCCTTGGCCTTGCGCGCAGGAGCATGCGAAGAGCGAAGGAGAGTTATCTCTCGGTCTTGATTCCTCTAAGCCGCTACTGCAGCTTCAAGACCCTGTCAGGCTGGAGAGAACTGGCTTTCTTATGCTTTCTCTCCTCCTGTTTCTCTCTCTCTTTTCTCTCCCTCTGTCCGTCTCTCCTTCTATCTCTCTCTTTTTCTCTCCATCCGCCTCGGCACCCTGATGCTCAGTCCTCAAGGCCCGGTCACCGTGGGGCGCCGAGGTTGAAGTGGCCGGAGCTCCGCGTTAGCGGTGGCGCAGCCTTCTGGGCCCGGAGCTCGGAGCAGCCATGGCCCGCAGCGACCACAGCTGCTTGAATCTCAGAGGCCAGACCTGGAGCTCTACCTAGCCAGCTCTCTCGTGCGCTTTCAGGGTCCTCTCAGGCTCCTCTTCTACCTTGGGCTGGATTCACATTGGGAGGAAGGAGACAAAGTGCCGCGTATGACCTGGAGGCAACAGTCTTTCCCAGCCGAAGGCAGCGGCCTGAGCGGTCTGTTTCCTGGGATGCCGACGTTCAGCAATGCCAGCTCCGAGTGGAGCCGGAGGGGCGGGCGGCCTGGAGTATCCTGGAGACCTGTAGCCCATAGGCCAGGGGCAAGGCAGTGACCTCCCGGGCTCCACTGGATCTGCCCGGAAAAGGTTGCATTTCCTGAGACTAGCATGAGGCTCACACTTGGGGGCTAGCACCCCAGGCCGGCCATTTCCAGTTGGCTAAAACAGAGCCCCTGAGTCTGCTGAGCAAAGGGCCTGGGCTCCACATGCTCTTATAACAGGGCCATGAGCCCAGCCCGGCCTTGCAGGGAAAGGATTTCCTCACCGGGGCCTCGTTAAAATGAACACACTGCAGGAGCAAAGACTGCCCTAGCTGAGGGTATGGGAGGGAGGGGAAGAGGGGAGGGGACAGAGAGGCAAGAGTGTAGTGACACTGGTTCTTGTTGTAGCCTCCAGGAGCATATGAGCGCCAAAGCTAACAGGAGAGCAGGAACATAAGGCAGCAGAGGTGTACACCGGGCACACCCCTCGAAGTCTCTCACTTTGGTCCAGCCAAGGACCCCAGGGCCAGCATTTTACTTCCCTGAAATGACTGTGGGCTTAGAGTCTTCCCTACGTGATGAGGGGATGCATGGACCTGGCTCTGGCCTCGGGAGTGGGAGTGGGGCCGTCTTTCCGTCAAGGTTGGCAGCAGCTTCCCACCCCCAGTCCTGCCAGCCCATCAAAGTCCGCTGACAGGAGCTGTAGAGAAGGCAAGCCAGATGAGCACAACACCACAGAAGAAGATCCTAACTGGATCAAGGGACTAGGGGAGAAAAGTGTTGGGGGTTAGGGGCTAGGGAACAACCATTGCATTTTGAGGAAAAATCTGTGGGAAAGTTGGCTTCCAGTTCACTCTGGGCTCCTGACACTCTGAGGATTTTGACAGCCATAGGGCCAGGTCATTTTGAGGATGCAGAATTCAGACAAGGGGCCAGCTCCTGATCCAGAGCTGAATGGGAAGCGAGTGAGTCCTCGACATGGCCAGTGGTCAGAGTACACCGGGGACTAGTGGCAGTTTCTGCGACAGGGATGGTGAGCACCCAAGGCAGACTGGGCGCGCGCCATAAACACCCCACTCGTGTGCGGGGCCCAAGGGCGCTTCAAACGAACCCCGGTATGGGGCACACGTCCGGGTAGGGGCGGGGCGAGCCCAGTGGCCAGGCCCCCCACCAGCCACGTTGCGGCAGCCCCCACAGCTCCCGGCCTTCGGGCCAAGGTGCCGGGCGTGCATCTCCTGGCCCATCAATACAGATTACATATTTATATCAATCGCGGGCTTCGAGGGCGCCCTCGGAGAGCGGCCCCGCGCCTACGAAACCAAACTGGGAGTGGTCGCGCGGAAACTCTGGCTCGGGATTGGCTGCGGGCGCCCGCCGCGGTGCGGGGGGATTGCTAATCGTATTCAGCATGTTTTGCACAAGAAATGTCAGCCAGAAAGGGCTATCTGCTCCCTTCGCCAAATTATCCCACAACAATGTCATGCTCGGAGAGCCCCGCCGCGAACTCTTTTTTGGTCGACTCGCTCATCAACTCTGGCAGAGGCGAGGCGGGCGGCGGTGGTGGCGGCGCGGGGGGCGGCGGCGGTGGCGGTTACTACGCCCACGGCGGGGTCTACCTGCCGCCGGCCGCCGACCTGCCCTACGGGCTGCAGAGCTGCGGGCTCTTCCCCGCTCTGGGCGGCAAGCGCAATGAGGCTGCGTCGCCAGGCGGCGGTGGCGGTGGCGGGGGTCTAGGTTCCGGGGTGCACGGCTACGGGCCCGTGCCCATAGACCTGTGGCTAGACGCGCCACGGTCTTGCCGGATGGAGCCGCCTGAGGGGCCGCCACCGCCGCCCCAGCAGCAGCCGCCGCCCCCGCCGCAACCACCCCAGCCCCCGCCTCAGGCCACCTCGTGCTCTTTCGCGCAGAACATCAAAGAAGAGAACTCCTACTGCCTCTACGACTCGGCGGACAAATGCCCCAAAGGCTCGGCCACCGCTGCGGAACTGGCTCCTTTCCCGCGGGGCCCGCCGCCCGACGGCTGTGCCCTGGGCGCCTCCAGCGGGGTGCCAGTGCCTGGCTACTTCCGCCTTTCTCAGGCCTACGGCACGGCCAAGGGCTATGGCAGCGGCGGCGGCGGCGCGCAGCAACTCGGGGCCGGCCCGTTCCCCGCGCAGCCGCCGGGGCGAGGCTTCGATCCGCCGCCGGCGCTGGCCTCTGGCTCGGCCGATGTGGCCCGGAAGGAGCGAGCCCTCGATTCGCCGCCGCCCCCCACGCTGGCTTGCGGCAGCGGCGGGGGCTCGCAGGGCGACGAGGAGGCGCACGCGTCGTCATCGGCCGCGGAGGAGCTCTCCCCGGCCCCTTCCGAGAGCAGCAAAGCCTCGCCGGAGAAGGACTCCCTGGGTAAGCAGGGCTGCAGAGGGCTGCAGTCAGGCGGGCAGACAGGCAGACGCAAGGAGGAGAAGGATTAGAGAACTAGGAGCCCGCGCAGCAGCCGGCCGGCCTTGGCCCAAGCTGCAGGCAGGCTGACCTTGTGAACTTGCTTTTTAATATTTGGGCGTGGGGACGCAGTAAAATTCATGTCCGGCTTAGCGCCCCACAGCAAGACGTCCTCGGCGCTGGCCTCAGCTTCCCCTGACTCGGGGCGAGGACACCAGCGAGCAGGCCCCCTCCTGTGCGCTCTTCCCTGTGGCGGGGAGCACCCAGAGCCCTGGTCCCTGCCCAGCCTTCGCGGCGCGGCCCACGCGGGGGGGAGGGGGAGGGAGGGAAAGTAGCTCGGCCGCAGATAGCGCGGATGTTTGTAAGGCATCCAAAATAAGCAGCCGCCAGCGCCAATAAATAAGCCCATTAACCGGCGAAGTTCGAGTTTACGATCCCCATGCTTTTTTCAAAGTTGCTGAGGGGCGGGAATCTTCGTTGCGGGAAGAAGAAAAGGCAAATCCAGCCTGGAAGCTGGGGGCCCTGAGCTGAGAGCCAGAGAAGGGACATTTCGCTTCACCTGGACCTCGGAATCGCCCAGCTATCTACCCCTGGCTCCTGGAGAAACTTGAGGGAGGGCCCTGGACCCCCGAATAGGTTTCTCCTCCTCTTCCCCATTGGACCAATGATGCCCTTCTTTCTCCCCTTATCGAGTCTTGGGCAATCAGGGCCCTGGGGTGAGACAGCCAAGCTGCCTGGCCCTCCTTCCAAGTAAGCACCCCGCGCTCCTAGCCTGGGGGCTACAGGAAATATTTGTCTGCCATATGGGAAGAAGCAAAGAAAAGCGTTAAGTTCAAGATGTACAGTCTGCCCTCCCAGGCCTTTCCTTCTGTAAGCATCTAGGGCTTAATGCTAAAACAGGTGTTTGGGAAAGTGGGGGAAATGTAAATTGGAAGGATCATGTAGATTGAAGGCCCACTCGATTTTTGTCATGACTTTTGGAGGAACTGCTTGCTCTCAGCAAGCCAAAAACGGGGGCACGACTCTCTTCTCTGTGACTTGGGACATCTCTCTTATGGGAGAAACGGAGGCAATTCACTCCCGCGGGCAGCCCGTGTGGCCTCGACTTAATCATCCCCTCTTTATTCTTTTACATGCCAGGCAATTCCAAAGGTGAAAACGCAGCCAACTGGCTCACGGCAAAGAGTGGTCGGAAGAAGCGCTGCCCCTACACGAAGCACCAGACACTGGAGCTGGAGAAGGAGTTTCTGTTCAACATGTACCTTACTCGTGAGCGGCGCCTAGAGATTAGCCGCAGCGTCCACCTCACGGACAGACAAGTGAAAATCTGGTTTCAGAACCGCAGGATGAAACTGAAGAAAATGAATCGAGAAAACCGGATTCGGGAGCTCACAGCCAATTTTAATTTTTCCTGATGAATCTCCAGGCAACGTGGTTTTTTCACTTCCTGAGCGCTGGTCCCTTCCCTCTGTCTTCAGCCTCTGCCCAGGAACTCGCACCTGTGCTGGAGCCCTGTTCTTCCCTCCCACGCTCGTCATCTCCTGGGCCGTTACATCTGTGCAGGGCTGGTTTGTTCTGACTTTTTGTTTCTTTGTGTTTGCTTGGTGCTGGTTTATTTGTTGTTTTCTGGGGGAAAAAGCCATATCGTGCTAAAATTCTATAGAGATAGATATAGTCCTAAGTGTCAAGTCGTGACTGGGCTGGGTTTGCTGTCTTGGGGTCCTACTGCTTGAAATGGCCCCTGTGTTCGGCCGAGCTGGTTTCCTGCCCAGCCTGGGGCAAACCTAGCCGGAAGGCCGAGGTCCCATTGTTGGCGCTGAGGTGTCTGGCCTGAGGTCAATGGTGCAAGGAGCCGCCACCGGGCATGTCTGCCTGGAGTGCTGTGCTGTGTTTAATCAGGGGATACAGGCCCCTGAGTTTCTTTTTTCTTTCTTCCTTTCTTCCTTGGCCAAGAGAAGGGCTTACAGGCATGGACATGCAGGTTGGCAAACGGGCTTGACTTTGGCTGATTTAAAAAGTAAGAAAGAAAGTAAAAAAGAGTAATTTTTCCTTCCTCTGTAAGATATCTCAGCTTTAAAAAGAAAAAAAAAATTACCAACAGAAGGGGACTGCTTTTCCAGTTTCTGTAAGGTCTTACATTGCTTGACTAAAATGTCTCATTTACCTCTAAATTTCCATATCCTTCTAGCTGTAGATAAATAATGTAGTTTTGTTTATACATTTGGAATTAGTGGATTTTTTGTCATTAAAATTGTTACCACTGGTAACATGCGACAAGCACACCACAATTCTCCCTATCTTGTGAAGTTGTTTTTTAAAAATCGCCTTGAACAAAAAGTTTTTTTAATTTTTATTTTTGCTTTCTGAAATTCACAGAAGCCTAGGAGGACTGGGGTAAGCGGAATAAACTAGAGAAGGGAGACATTGTTTGGATTTCCTTTATACTGTGAAGTTACATGCATAAAAGGGTCAAACCTGTAGATGCAGAAAAAGAAAAAAACTATAAATACAAATCTGTATAAATGTCTATTATTATGAAGAATTGCCAATCTTGTTTTAAGCAAATGCATTCTATCGTTATTATAAATGTTAGTTCTAGCTCTATTTACTTCTAATCTTAAATCAGAATAAATTAATATTGTATTGCTGCTGTGCGTGGAAAAAGACGATGTTTATGTTCTTATAGAATAAAAGCTGTGGAATGAAGCTTTTTAATTTTACCTCTTTTTTGACTTCTTATCTTCACCTTCCACTTTATCCCGTTCACCACTTTTACAACAGGAGGACTAACCCGAGCCCCCTGCAATTACTTTAGGCATCTATTTAAATATTACCTAGACGGTCGTAATTTGTCTGGGCCCTATAGCCCTGGTGCCGTAAGGTTTGTCGGCTTTTGTTCAGTTTTATGGCTTGCTAGTATATCTGGATTGTGGCTGTCTTGGACCAGTGATTTCAGTTGAGAGGGGAGCTGCATAGACAGAGGAAGCCAAACAGGATTTCTTTCGGGAGCCCCAGGGAGGCTTGCAGAGGCCGGTTATTTTGCGGGTGTCTGAATCTCAGATGACCCTCAATCTGAATCGGGGAGCAGGCCTGGCCCACAGCGCATCCCTAGCCGCTGGAGGCAGCCGTTAGGTGGACCCGGGCTGGGCGGCATGGGGGCCG